TCTCTCTCTCTCTCTCTCTCTCTCTCTCTCACACACACACACACACACACACACACACACACACACACACAAATGGACACGAAAACCTGCCTACATACAAGGCCGTGAACTTTGGCGCAAATGCCGCGAATATCAAATGGGCCTTAAGACTCCAGCAAACATTTTTCTGGGGTCGGCCTCAATCCTAGGATGGGTCCTGGCCAACCCCCCCCCCTTTCTTCTTATTTTTTTGTATTTTGTCTGATCCGGACCTTCCAGACCGGACGTCCGGACGCAAGTCTGGATCAGGACCTTCTGGATGGCAGTCCGGACGTCCGGATCGTAGTCATGCAAGTTAACGTGGGAAGACTCTTGGTGCCCTTTCTTTCTCATCTTTTTGCTTCTTCTTCTTTCTAGATAAAGGATTGTTAGTAATTTGTTACTTTGTCAAAATTGTTTGCGAGAGAGTCCTTTATCTCTGTTTGACTTCCTTTTTTTTTTCTTTTTTTGACTTGCCCTTTATCCGTATCGTGTGTATCCGATGCAGGTTGTTAAGAATACAACGCTGAAAAAACAGCCCGGGGCAGGAGCTGGCGGATCGGGGGTTGGTGGCATGGGTGGCCCTCAAGGTGGAGGGGTACTTGCTTGAGAGAAGAATGAGAATTGATTGATTGATTGATTGACTGATTGATTGATTGATTGCCTGATAAATGCATGCATGCATTTTACGGCAAACACACATCTATCTATTCCTTTGCTCCGATGGACACCCCACAATTGGTTATTTATGATGGATGCTTGTAACACAAGCTGTTGTGTTCAGAAAATTCATCTTCCTGACTCTTGAGGCCCTGGCCAGATGATTGTCCCGCCCAGACAACCTGTCCATGAGATTGCATACGTCCATACAACATTTGCAAATGCACATGGAAAAGGGGGGGGGGGAGAGAGAGAGAGAGAGAGAGAGAGAGAGAGAGAGAGAGAGAGAGAGAGAGAGAGAGATGTATGGGTACATGCCGATTGATGTACAGCCTTGATAGGAGGATTGGTAGTGGTTGATCTCAAACATGGGGTAATACTCAGAACTGATGTATGAAGCCGCAGCCGCGGCAATCTAACAGCCTGAACGATACATGCCGCTCTCCTACATTTACACATGTGCACTTCGGTCAGGAAATGGAGGAAGGGGTTCGGCAGGCAGAAGTGCAGCAATCATAGCCATAAATATGAGAGAGAGAGAGAGAGAGAGAGAGAGAGAGAGAGAGAGAGAGAGAGAGAGAGAGAGAGAGAGAGAGAGAGAGAGAGAGAGTCATAATTTTTCCCTGTAATGGATGATGAGCAGACTCACACCACGGCTATCGTGAGGGTCTGACCGCATTCATGCCCAGAGTAGTTGGCATAGTGCCACCTTGAGTCGATGACCCCTGGCATCCCCACTCAAGCGGCCTTTGTGACCATTGTCCATCTTCAGCAGGTTGCTTGGCACCGGCATCATCATCGTAATCATCAACGTTATATCCTTCTCCACCAGCGTCAAGGATGCATCATGGTACGTACTTGATCTGTATGTCGAATCTTTTTTTTTTTTTCTCTCCCTCTCTATTTGTATGTCGAATCATAATATCATCCTATGTTTGCTGAATGGTCTTTTCCTGTAATTGCCACATCTTTGTCATCATTCTATTTGTTTATGTTTGTCTACTTTATCTACACAATCACTGTATGAATTTTATATCTAATGTGTGGCACATTCACTCTGTCCTCGCCCTATTGTGAATGCACATGCGCAGAGTCGTTTGATATGTATGCAGTGGCCGCAGGGGCAGGAGTTATGGGTCAAAGGGATGGGGGGAGTCCACTATGCTTGTGCTAATGGACAACGATAGCTATTTGCTATTGCGTTCGCGATTTGCGGACTATGCTTGTGATTGTTGAACTGCTGTGTGAGTTACTTAACTTCCTCCTCCTCCCCTTCTTGCAGATAGTATGCAGCAGATCATACAGGGACTTTCCAACCTTCGGCAGACATCTGCAGCAGACTCTTTCTTTTTCCCCGAAAGAGATTTGGACCGTTTCTGGATTCCTGCATGTCATTCTTGTGAAAGGGTCTCTCTCTCTCTCTCTCTCTCTCTCTCTCTCTCTCTCTCTCTCTCTCTCTCTCTCTCTCTCTCTCTCTCTCTCTCTCTCTCTCTCTCTNGGGCGTGACAACCGGCCAGGCGGCCCGGCCCCCCCCCCCCGGCGACGACCAGGCCGCCGGGCGGCCTGGGAACCAGCCTAGGAAATAAGAAAAAATCAATCGAGAATTAAAATTAGTGAGTGCGCGAGCACGTTTTCGACACTGCCATCTTTGGAGATTTTTTTTTTTTTTTTGGCATCACCAAATGCCCTGAAAATTTACAGATGTGTGCTTCACATAATACAAAACTCAATAAAAAAGTTTCAAAAAATAATAAATGTTTTTAGGCCCCGAAGTAAAGTGAAAACAAAAAGTAAAAAGTGAAAAAAGAACAAAATAGTGAGTGGGCGAGCACGTTTCGACACCTCCGTCTTTGGCGATTTGTAATTTTGTTTTGGCTTAGCAAAACGACTTCAAAATTTAGAGGTGTGTACCTCACATCATAGAGAACTCACAAAAAAAAAACAGAAAAAAACGTTTATTATTTTTTGGGCATGTACCTCACTCAAAAACGCTTAGTAAAATTTTGTTTTGGCTTAGAAAAAATTGTTTAGACCCCGAACTCAAGTGGAAACAAAAAGTAAAAAGTGAAAAACAATGTGGGCGACCACGTTTCGACACCGCCATCTTTGGCGATTTTTAATTCTTTTTTGGCTGAGCCAAATGACTTGAAAATTTATAGGCACGTACCTCATGTCATAGAGAACTCGCAGAAAAAAATTCAGAAAAAAACAAATATTTTTAGGCCCCGAAATAATTTTTGGCAGGGGCCGAACGCCGTCGGGTTCGGACCCCGTACGGGACCCCGAACGCCCGTACGTATGGAGGTCTGCCCAGGGACCTCCGTACGTACGGGCTGGTGACCCTGTATATATATATGTATATATATGTGTATAACATGTGTCAGTGAAAATCCAACGAAACAGTTTGTCACAGCCCCTCGTTTGTTGTCCTCTTCTCCCTCTCTGCCGACGGTTTACCGGGCAGTTCTGTTTGACCATGTATATATGTATAGATAGATAGATATATAGATATATAGATATGTATATCAAGTAAATTGTGGACTTTGTGAAACAAATGACAAAAAAAACAAAAGACAGGCATGAAGAGCACATCGAAACGATTATTTTGGTTGTTCTTCTTTTAGCTCTGATGTATATTAGCAGGGGGCTAGCCAGACTTCTGAGGCCTCTGCTTTGACATATGGGTGCACCAGGGTGCTCTAGAAGTCATGATCTCAATGGAGAGCACACCCTCTGCATATTAACATGGGGCAAGAGTGGGTTGGGGTGGGGGAGGGTATGTACTTTGTGGGGCGTCATTGGGCATTACAGAAGCCTCCTCGAAGAGGGACTTGGGATGTCCCTTTGTTTTGCGATTGAAGTCGGAAAAGCTTCAAACATGTTCGGTGTGCTACACAAGTACGTTGGGGTCACACACCCATCATTCAGAATAGGCAACTTCAGCAGTTCCATAAATGGAGCAAAAAAAGAGACCCTAAATCTGCCAAGCGCCACTGACTGGCGCAGTTTCAAACCCTAGCCAAACTTGCACATTTTGAAACTCACACCAACACACCGGCGCCATTTTGTCTTTTCTTGCCTATTTCTAACTAAAAGTGTGTCACAGGCACAGTTTCCCTTAAGTAAATTTTTATTTTCTTCTTTAATGACTGGAACAGTACCTAGGCTACCAGCCTAGCCGCCCGGGTCACCCTATTTTCGCGGGCGGCCCGACCGTGCAAGGACCAGGGAAGGTCCTAGCAAAAAAATTAAATAAAAAAGAAATCAAACAAATCTGAAAAAACAAACTATGTTATGAAAAAAAATAAAAACTGAACAACTTTTGTCTCAGGGTCACATCGAAATTCTTTACCAAATTTAAAATAAAAATTAAACCAAAATATAAATATATACCTCCTGATGAGTCGGTGAAACTCCGACGAAACAGTTTGTCACAGCCCCTCGTTTGTTGTCCTCTTCTCCCTCTCTGCCTACGGTTTACCGGGCAGTTCTATTTGACGATATATATAGGAAGCCAAAAGGTATGCTTTCTGCGCCGGTAGCGCCGAACCGCCGCAGGGCGCAACTGCGGGGTACCAGCGTGGCCTGTGGGAGCACGCCAACGCCGGCTGTCCAAGGTGAGGGGGGCGGGGGCAACGCTACAACGCCGTGCCATCGCCGATGGACATGACTGGTGGAGGGTCGCCGGGAGTGTGTGGTGATGTGGTCCTTGGTGGGAGTGTGATCCTGCGGGAGCCGATCAAGGCAAATAACACGTGTGCGTGAGTGGGAAGAAAACACATGGCGCGCATGTGAAGCGAGCATTTGCGTACAGACCTGGGCGTGGAAGACGGCGTCGGCCCGCGTTATCGTCGACGGAGCTGGGTGGAAGAGGGAGGGACATTTTCTGGCTCTTGAGTGGGCGAGCGATGACAACACATCGTGGGCGGCATGCGACAGCTTCAGGAGACTACGTAACGAAAACTGGTAAGTGTACGTCGGAGCACATCGCGGGAGGCCAGCGACATCTTCAGGAGACTATGTCAAGGAAACCGGTGGGTGTACGTCGGGGGTTTGAAAAACATCATCTGCCTTTTGAGTGGGCGAGCGGTGAGGATACACGGAACATTTGAAGATGACACACCGCGGGCGGCATACGACATCTTCACGAGACTACGTCAAGGAAACCGGTGAGTGTGCGTAGGGGGTTTGGAAGGGCGAGTTCTGAAAAGGGGCGGGGAAGGGGGTTGCAAGATAGTAGAAGGCGAGAAAACGAGAAGGGCTGGGAGCGAATAGGAGGGTTCAGGGGGAGTGACTCGTGATGTGGAAGGTTGGCGGGGAGGAGATAACGAATGGAAAAGGGTGATCATGGTTGATGGGCCACCGCCATCACTGAGTAATACCTGGCACGTGAGCGGGTGGGTGGCAAGTGTATGTGGGCAGTGGGACAACACGTCGCGGGTGGGGGAAGGGGCTTGCGATCAAAGAAAGGGAGGGTTTCTGGGTGGGGGGGGTAGGTGGCAAGCCTTGCGAGCGATCCAGGAAGGGGAGGTGTATGTCCCGGGGGAGTTTGTAAGATCGTAGGCGACGGGGTCAGGGTGTGTACACGTGTATCGGCAGGACGGTGCATCGCGAGCAGATGACCCAAAAGAAAAGAGAGTGGTGAGAGGTGAGGGCTTTTGGGGGAAATTCGCACCGAAAAGGGGAGGGTAGACGGGGAGAGGTGAGCTGTAAGGGGAGAAGGGAGACAGTGAGGGGGGCAGGGAGGGTATAGGAGGAAAAGGGGGAGTGTGGCTAGCAATTGAGGGAAGGGAAAAAGGGGGGAGAGGGGGAGGAGAGCAGGGGAGGTGAGGACCTTCGGGGAACCGGGTAAGGGGAGACGTCTGTGGGACTACCACCCCGAGAAGGGGAGGGCAGGTGGGGGATATAGGAGGAAAGGAAGGATCGGCCAAACAATAGAGGGAGGAGGGAGTTAATCAGAGGGTGTGAGGGGAGGGTTGGTTGATGGTGGTAGAAAAGAGTTTGGGGAAACACGGCAGCGAAGACAACGAAGGCAACGAATTGGAGACACGGGCAGCGAAGACAACGAATGCAACGAATTGGAGACACGGGGCGCGCCTGGTCAGTCCCCTGAAATCTGTAGTAAGGAACTCATAAATTGGGGTAAACACCTAAAAATCAGATTTGTGATAATTGGAATAATTAAAATAACAAGGAAGAAACAAGGAAGAAACAAGGAAGAAACAAGGAAGAAACAAGGAAAAACAAGGAAAAACAATTAAATCTAATAAAACCAAAGGTCACTGCGTAATAAATACCAGCAGAGAGTATAACAGAGAGCATAAAAGGAGTATTAATAACAGACACCAGCTGCATCACCACCATGAGAACGACCAATAGAACACAACGTGCGCACAAAAGATTAGATTCAATGCTGTTCTACAGCGGTGCGATGAGGCAACTGACGGACCAACACCTCCGTTTAAAAAAATGGTTGCAACAGAACCACGGCCCGAGTGCCGCCACCCCGTCACCCGTCTTGCGGTCAGAGAAGATGGTGGGAGGCGTCCCGCAACAGGACGAGGACATGGGGGTCCTGACGGAGGATGAGAGAGTGAGGGAACAACGACGAGGGATGGTTCTGGGGGAAGGGACTGTTGACCCAGCCGCTCAAGGGTCGAGCAGCCATCAACCACAACTTACCTGGGCGGACAAGCTCAAGCATCCCCTCCAAGGCCATGCCCTCACCATTCAACGGGGCCAAGGGGGCCCGCGGACTGGGAAGCTGGAGATTCCTCTGGACGGGTTGCCACCCGCGCAGGGGCCCGCGGACTGGGAAGCTGGAGATTCCTCTGGACGGGTTGCCACCCG